GATGTATCTCGCTGCATTGTGCGAGTACGCTTCTAGTCTATACTAAAACATTTGACAAAAACTCTTAAAAACCATCATTTATGCATGAAAGTACAACGTATTAATGCATATTACTTAAAATTTAAGATTACAAGTAAATTGTGCGTAAGTATAACTTATTAAAGCTTCATTTTAAATTCGTATAACTAACAACAGATAAACATAATCAAATACAAGATAAACATCTCATTTTAAATATACAAAATCTAAAATATAATTAGAATAATTCATTGAGTTCTAATATAATCATTATCTTTATAAAAATTTTATTGTTAAGTCAAAAATAAATTATTTCACCATTGACTTAAATTAAATTATAAAAAATTGAATTAAAGAAATTGTAAAAAAAATGAAAACTTTAAATGGTTATTTTAATATTAATATCAATATATATTTTCAAATTTTATGATGTTTTCAAAATTATTTTTATTCAAAAGTAAAAACATTATATTTCTTAAACCATATTATACCAATAAATACAAAACCTAAAACGAGACATTAAAATGAATATGTATATATTTATATTGTACGAGTACCATTATAGTATAACTAACTGTATACATAAACTATATATATAATATAACTTAAAATAATGATAATATACAATAGATATAACATATATATTAAATAATAATAATATAATATGATATGATATCAATTAAAAATTGATATTTGAAGGAAATTAAAACGATCCTAATTTCCAAAGCATTCAATACCGTGCCTGCGATTAGCAGTCGGCTTTAGACCCCAACGCGTTCACAGTATCAGGCGAACGCCGGCTCATGCGTTTGTAGCGTCGCCTGACCGAATCAATTTATCGGATATCCGCTTCGATTCCATTCGCTCACAGTGGACATATGCGATCATGATCTCATATCATTTACATGGTTGACTTTTCCTTCTAATTTTCTCCGGTCATACGAACATAAACAAATCAGTTTTTCCAACTCCCCCTAAATTTCAACACCCAAAACCTCTCTCTCTCTCTCTATACAAACATGGACGGCGGAGTCGCGGCGGAGCAAGGGACGGTCACCTGTGCGTCGTGGATCAGGCGGCCGGAGGATGCTCATCTAGTTGCCCTAGGGAAGTCCAAGCATGGCGATCTCCCTGCCTCTTTCCAGATCTTCTCATTCGATCGTCTCACCACATCCCTTTCTTCATCTCCTTCGGTCTCTCCCTCTCCATCGTCTTCTCTCTATACGCATGTGTATAAATTACGAACACACACGTACACGTCGATTTGTTGCCTGAATGTGTTCTTTTATGTTTATTGTTTGGGGGCGGGGGGATAGGTTACTTTCGAGTTTGAAGACGGATGCGATCCAGTGAGTCTAGCGGTGCATCCAAGCGGTGATGATATTGTCTGCTCTACAACCAAGGGCGGTTGCAGGTATACTCACTCAAGCATTCAGTCTTTCTCTGATTAGAATCGTCTGTAATTTCCCTTCAAGAAAGAAAAAATAAGTAATTCACTGTAATTTGATGGTGTTGATATGTGATTTTGATAGCCAGACTTTCTATGTTACCGTGCTGTTCACCTTAAGTCGAAAAATATCAGGAACATTACATAGGAATTTGTGACCAAATTATTAATCAACTGAAAGGGCTCATCTTCTCTCAGTGAATGAATAAAGTGTGCAAGGGAAAAGGAATAGTGATAGTTAAAGGGTAATGAAAATTTTTTATTTGCCTCATCCAAAGAGGTGGGAAGTGTGCAATTAATTTTTGGACGATGAATTGAGGAGGCAAAACCATTATTTTTGGAAAGAGGTGGTGCAATAGATACATTTATTAATTAGATAACAAATGCCTTTTAGGATATGTGAAGAGGGGGGTTGACTTTTTGGAGGTTAATTCAAGTATAAATGGGAAACTACATTATGATGTATTCTTTTGTTGTATAGAAAAAAAACATATCCTCGAGTAAATTTCGATATACCAAGGCATATTAGGTTCGAAATATTATTTAAGGAAAACGAGCTCTTAATCGATCTCACATTCTTATCTGAGTTTTCTTTGATTTCTCACCAGACCTGCTTTCCCCAACGGACATTTTTTTTTTCTCAGGGTACTTGGTGACTTGGTGTGTCATGCAATTCTGTGCTTCTCCCTCCATGACTAGGCTGAAATGTCTGATCTTGTATTTGACCACAAACCTGCTATAAACATATAACTTAGGAACTTTATGTATTTTTTCTTCTCAAAATTGATCTGCAACTAGCAGTCCATGTTTCATAATTTTGCTAACACGCTTCTTCATAATTTGTTATTAAAGACTTTGTTAATGGACTAGTGTCTTCTGTAAGCATCTGTATTGAGTGATGGTATGATGCTACATTCCTTCTCTTTGAAAGACTGAGTGGGAATCAAATGCAATTGGAGTTGCATTAGTAGTTTGTTGATGAATTTGCAAGCCATATTCTAGACGCAAAACAATATAATACAAACACCATCTAAGCTTTCTTTGATATCCTTTTCTGATGATTCTGTTTGACATCCTTAATATTGTTAGCTTACATTACTGCAAATTACTATGATGTTTATTTGATAACTGATCGCTCTACATGGAGGATGAACTTTATTATGTGCAGGCTGTTTCAATTGTATGGCCAAGAGAAAAATGTTAAGTTGTTGGCCAAAAACCTAAAACCTCTCGAAGATGTGGGAGCACAGAGGTGCCTAGCCTTTAGTCCTGATGGATCTAGATTTGCTACCGGAGGGGTGGTAAGAATATTGATAAGTTTCTCATGTCATAAATTTTCTCTTCTGCACCCTGCTCATAATTTTTATTTGGTCAATTAATCGAAGGATGGGCATCTTAGAATATATGAATGGCCGAGCATGCGTGTGATAGTAGATGAATCAAAAGCTCACAAGTCATTCAACGATATGGATTTCAGGTGGGTAGATTTTGAATGTTCATCATGTGAAACTTGTATCTTGGCATCTTGTAGTGTTAAAGTAATTTCTATAGATAATGATCATTTGTCGCTAAGAATTAAATTCTACCATATTTCATTTCTATTTACCATCTCCTGCCCATCAATAATATTATATTATTCCTCCATACTACTTGTTCATTTGGTTCTTTTCTTCCTTCCATGTTGTTGTAGCATTTTCCCTCTTAATGGATGCTAAGTTTATGAACTTATACCAACAATATTTTGAGTTGAATAAGAACTGGTAACACAGTTGAAACTCTTAAAAAATATCTGATCTCCTTGTTACCTTCTCTCTTGACCAATGACTTCCTAAGTTCCAAAGGCATTGATTGAGTTGGTTGATTACTGTCTGCCTCTTGACTCTCAGTCAATCTGTTTTAACCATTCGTTCACCCTCATACTCTCTAACAACCTTAAAACCCATTCAAAGTTATGCTTGCAACTAATATTTGGGGATTACAGGTAAAAGAAGCGCAAAATCTAATAATGTATACTTTTACCACAAAGTTCAGCTTGCTGATTATTGTACTCTCAGCCTAGATTCGGAGTTCTTAGCATCAACATCCACCGATGGCTCCGCTAGGATTTGGAATACAAGTGATGGTGTTCCAGTCAACTCGTTGACTCGAAATTCTGTAAGATCCAATTAATACATGAGAAAAAGTGTGATAACACCATTCCCTGTTAGTACTGGGGTTATAATGCTGTGTTCTGCTCTTTTTTCCCATTGCAGGATGAGAAAATTGAACTATGTCGATTTTCTAAGGATGGAACAAAACCTTTTTTGTTTTGCACTGTCCAAAAAGGTATTTTCACCTTTGAGTGAAGGGTAATGAAATAAAATGTTCATAACATTCTTGTTGGCTATGTGAATTTTATATCGCAGGTAATAAATCAATCACAGTTGTCTGGGACATCAGTACTTGGAACAGAATTGGGTTTAAAAGACTTCTTAGAAAGCCTGCTTGTGTAATGTCGATCAGTTTGGATGGGAAATATTTAGCTCAGTAAGTGCTCGACACTTTTTGGAGATTCAATAGGCACATCGGAATATTGAATTACATTAATTGTCAAACCAAGTAACCCTTATTTTTTTTTCAAACAGAAGTAACTCTAGGTTATAAAAAATTCATTCTGCTGTTGTATATGTAATATGAAATATATATGTGTTTTTTTTCAAACAGAATTAACTCTAGGTTAAGATAATAGTCAAACCAAGTAACTTTAATGATAGGCTATTGTCATATAAGATAATGGGAAACCGTCACAGGGAACTTTTCTATTATGCATTTTTGCTCCTCTGTAGTTGACCGCTCTACAAAACATTTTGCAACATTTTTGTTTTCTGATCGTCCAGCGAGTAACAATGATTGTACACTTGTGGGAAAGAGCTCTAATGTTCTTCTTTCATTGATTGACATATTTGACCTTTTAATAGAATGGTCAACTTCATGTGCAATTTTGGCACCCCTCTTACGGAGATCACCATATTAGTGTCTGCTAGACTAGATTCTTTTCTCAACTTCCTTAATTCTGATGGAATGTATTAATTACAGGGGAAGTAAAGATGGTGATGTATGTGTTGTAGCAGTGAAAAAGATGGAAGTCTGTCACTGGAGTAAGAGGCTTCACTTGGGCTTTTCAGTCACCTCCCTGGAGTTCTGTCCTAGTGAAAGGTAACACAGCATATGTAGTCACTTCTTGGTGAACAATTTAAGTATAAAATGGCGTGTAAATACTATCAAATCCTGTTCGACTTGTAGAAACGGAACATAACTGCAGGTTCAATTGGTCAACTGAATGTGCTTTCAATTCCTGGAGTTCTTATAAGCTACCTTTGGTTTTTTAACTGTATGTTGCTCACTATTCAAACATGATGGACTTGCTGATTCATTCTAGAAATTTGTAACATTAACCAATGTAGCTCTCTGAACCACACAAATATCAGTTTAGAGAAAAACAGTTCTGCAATTAAGCTAATTAAGCTAGCTTAATGGAAGTACTTCTAAAGTGTAAGAGTACCATTCACAAGCCTAGGTTTTTTAGGCTTAAAAGGATTTTCGTTTTTCAGCAGCCAGGAATCCTTCTTTTGGAACTTGCTTGCTTAGTTTAACAAGTGTTGGTGCTCATCTGCAGGGTTATTCTTTCCACTTCAAATGAATGGGGAGCTATGGTAACCAAGTTAAATGTTCCTGTAGATTGGAAAGGTCTTTCTCTCTCTCTCTCTCTCTCTCTCTCTATATATATATATATATATATACATATCTTACACACACAAACATGTACATATTGCCAGACATTGTTGAGTACATTTGAATTTAAAGCAAGGGACCTGACTTAAGACCTGATCCCAACTATAACTTGTGAAGAATTTAAAAGGTGAAAATTGGTGTTGGTAACGAGTGGCACAATTTTTTGTGTGGCATTGAAATTGAGACTTGTAGGTTATTCTTGATAGGTGTGGGCTCAAGTGAAAACACTAAAAAGGAAGAACAATGGAACCCATAAGAACCATCCATCTATTTTAATCTAACGGCTGTCATTAATTGGGACTGTTACATTTTACCAAAAGTAAATCATGAATATCGGGGACTGTTACAGTCGAACCTGGGCCGTTTATATTTTAGATTCAACAGATAGGGGTTCCCTTGTTCTTTTTTTCCGGGTTCTAGCTTGAACCTTCCTCATCCTGAATGCATTTTCTAATGTTTCAAAGGGTTTTCAGTGGTTTTTTTCAGTATATCTCTACACTCCACCGTTCTCATAGGCCATAGCGAGTTCACATCCGCAACTCATGGTTTTCCATGTATTTATGTTGGATTTATTTTCTGTGTGATATTTGTGATTTTTACACATATATGCATGTATCACATGCACAAGTATACTTGTGCAAAGATTCGGTTAGCTCATTGTCTCCGAGCAGAATTGTAGATCAATTATTTAAGTGATACAATTGTTTCCTTTGTGGTACAGAGTGGCAGATATATCTGGTGCTTATAGGACTTTTTTTGGCATCTGCGGTCTTGTTCTACATATTCTTCGAGACTTCTGATTTGTTTTGGAACTTCCCACTCGGGAGAGACCAACCTGCACGACCGAAACTTGGTTCGTTCTTACCAGACCCTCAATCTGATGATCAGAACATGTGGGGTCCTGTCGACATGTAAACATGGGTTGTTGCCTCGTACTTTTTGGATTGGATTCCTGATAAATGAATTTTCAGCCAACTTGACGGTAAAAAGAGGAATTATGACTTGTAAGTGACTTGATCGTTTCTATTCCTCGTGGAACTTGCACGGTTTACTAACAGTATGCCAAGAACAAAAATGTTGTTCTTAACCAAATTGGTTATTCTTGAGGTCTGTAACAGAAAAAAAGACCGGTAACTGATGACCCCTACGTAATTTATGTCGTTTTGTTTGTAGTATTCTTCTTTTTCTAAATTTGTTCAAATTATTCTATTCATAGTCCAAATTAAAAAAGAAGAAATCATATTTAATAATTAATAGAAGAATATACTTGGGGGACTTCATCAAACGTTTATTGGGTTAGTATTTACATGTAAGAGTTGTCCCTTCACAGATTCTTGGCCATCAAAATGGCATAATAAGATTGATAGTAAGGGGTTGTTTACTGGCCGTTGACTAGATGACTCGGTCTACAAATCTGACTCGGTCAGCGGTCAGCACGTTTACCAAATTACGGATCTGATCGAGATCTTACCGAGCCAGCATCAAGATAATGCCTACATGGGCCAGATTTTGTTTTCCCATGCATGCCCCTCATGCGATTAAGGTTTTCACCCTAGCTGTTCGGCGTCCTCCTCCCCCTCCCTCATTGTTCCTCCGGCCCTCGTTAATCAGGTAATCTCTCATGAATATCATCTCTCACGAATCAAAATAATCTCATCGATTCATCTTTTTTAAACTTATAATTTCTCATCGATTCATCTGTTTTAAACTCATAATTGCATCCATTCATAAACCATTGATTTGCATTTGTTTTAAACCAACTATTCGAATCTATATGAGTCGTAAATAACATGCATGTGTCACATTTGTTTGAAGTAATGTGAAGATCGTAGCTAAAACATCCCTCTCATTCTCCTTTTCCCTGTCTACCATCAAACACCATTATTATTAGACACAAATCTTCTTCTCTCTTTCTCTATTCATCATCTAACTTGATTCTCTTGTTGTGGAAGATCCGATGCTTTTTTGATCGAATCCACGAATACCCATTTTCTCAGTTACAAATTAATCAGGGTTTACAATCAAATAATAAGATCGATTCATGTGAACTGAAAAATAGAGATTGCTAGGTTTTTATGTTGTATCAGATTAGTAGTAACAAAATGGAAAATAAGAAAGATCCATACCTATGACTGAAATCAAAATATGAAAATGATAAGACCATACATTATGAGTATGGATTAATCTAACCATCGACTTCACTGTTCTTGATTCTAGGTTTTGGAGTTTGAATCATTTATTGAGCCATTTCCTTATTTTCTTGATATAAAAAGAGAAATCGAAACCCTAATCAATTACTAAATCCAAAATGAAACCCAGATATCGATTGGAGGTGTTCTTCTACGATGCTTTTTGCGATGAAACGGTGAGGTCTTGGTCACAGCTTCCATCTTTGTGGACGGACCTTCCACGTTCTTGGGAAAACGGGTTCACGCCCCCTGAAATCGATAGGTTTGGGGAGAAAGCGTGGTGGGATGGTATATCGTGGAGAGAAGGGTGTGTAGTTATACTTGTACATAAAAATATGTAAATAAAATAGAGTAAATTACACTTTTGATCCATGAGATTGTTCCCCATTATCAGATTTAGTCCCTATTTTAAACCTAATATTTTTCTATCACTGTCGTTTTCCACTTTATTTCTTTGGTCCCTTTGACTAGCTTTTTAGGAAAAAGCCTTTTAACACAAAAGGTATATTAGTCTTTTTATATTTCTTTAATTTATAATCAAATACATATATTTTTATATTATATTATAACTAGTTGTATACCTCTGCAATACAGCGGGAGCCGTGAATTTTAACGATTTTGAAGTTTCACTGGTTTTATTAGAGAAGATTTAACGATGATATACGTTACACTTGGTCTTTACATATTAATACAATTTGAATAAATAAGAGTTATGGTTCCAATTACAGTCTATCGACGAAAAAAATTGTATGACAGTTTAAAATCCAATATATTTAAAATCCAACATATTTAAACGACTCCACAAATGTATTCGATTTACACCAAGAGCAAAGAATCAAGGGAGCGAGATCGAGAGTTCTAGAGCAATTGAATGAGAGATGAATGAGAGAACTTTTAATAACTCGTGGTGAATATTAGTTTGAATCTCACCTTAGGGGATGAGGAGAAGACATAGAGGTATGAGAGGGTGAAAGCATTAGTGAGAGATATCAAAAATATATTGGAAACATGAAAAGTTTAAGTAATAATACGCATTGGTAACTTATACTATATGTTATTTTAATTGTAGATTAAGAGATTTTAAGACTAAATGCATAAATTAGTAGTACTTAATGCATTGTGAGTTGTTTTTAAGACTTTGTGTATAAATGTATAATACTTTGTGCATTAAAAAATATTTTTAAGACTTTCGACAAATCTGGTTTATAAGGTAGTATAGATTATAGTAAATTAAGTTTTATGGTCCTTGTGGTTTGTTAAAGATTCTGATTTTCGTCTATATGGTTTAGAAATTATGTTTTTTGTCCTTGTAGTTCTTAGTTCGTTGTTATTTCGTCCTTATTATTTATAATTTATTGTTGTTTCTGTCTTCATAGTTTATAATTTTTATGTTCCGGCCCCTTGTACTTATAGGTAGGAATTAGTTTATGGACGAAAATAACAATAATAGTAAACTACAATTTTGGTCTCTGTGGTTTACATCAATCTCTGAAAGTGGTCCTTAGACATCGGTAAGTATACTTATCGTCCTTACTATTTACATTTTGTTTTGAAAATAGTCCCTGGTCACTAACTCTGTTAGATTAGTCCGTTAAGTGAAAGTTATATGTATCTTTTTTACCCTTTTTTGTCTTTATCTTAGGGACCAAAATTGTAAATTACCTTTTTCCTTTTATTTCTTTTTCTTTATCTATACTATATTATAAAGCATTTGATAAAAACTCTTAAAAACCATTTTTATACGTAAAGTACTGTTTATTAATGCATATTACTTAAAACTCAATATTACAAGTAGATTGTATGTAAGTACAACTTATTAAAGCTCCATATCTAAATTCGTGTA